GTCATCCATTCAAGAAATCAAACCGAGGACCACAGCAACCAGGTGATGTTATCTACAGCGATGTCTGTGGACCGTTCAGTGTACCATCTGTACAAGGTATGAAATATGCTGTAATATTTAAAGATGCTGCTACAACCTTCAGGTATGTGTATTTTTTAAAGAATAAATGTGATGTTTTATACTATTTCAAGAAATATAATTCAATGATTAAAAATAAGTTTTCACATAGTGTACGCATACTACACACTGATAATGGTGGGGAGTACCTAAGCAAAGAATTTAAAGAATATCTTGACCATGAGGGCATTACTCATGAGCTCACTGCACCATATACACCTGAACAAAATGGCCGAGCCGAAAGAGAAATTAGGACAATTGTTGAAAGTGCTCGATCCATGCTTTATGCTCGTAAGGTACCACTTTATCTTTGGGCAGAAGCAGTCAATTGTGCTGTTTATTTGTTAAACCGCACATCTTCAAGTCAGACACCAAATATTACCCCTATAGAGTTGTGGAGTGGTATAAAACCTTGTTTAGATCATGTCAGGGTGTTTGGATGTGAAGGATATGTACATGTGCCTGGGCAGTTGAGAAAGAAGCTTGACAGTAAAAGCTGTAAGATGATGTTAGTTGGTTATGATAATTCAAACTACAAAATGTATGATCCAATTACAAAAAGAATTACAATATCAAGAAATGTTATTTTCAATGAACATAAAAGTCCTGAAATAAATAAGAATGAAGCTGAAATTTTAATATATGATGATAATGAACAAAATGTTGAAGAGGAGTTGGATAATACAGAGTTGACTGAGAGTGATGAAAGTACACATACTGCCATTGATGAAAATGATGAGACTTATGAACCTTCGCAGGAAATTGAACTTTCAGATTTGGATCATTCAAATATTACTTTGCGTCCGCGTAGACATAATGTTTTTGAGGCAAATTTAATGGAACTGAATGTACCTGCAAGTTACAATGAAGCAATTAACTGCGAAGAGAGTGAGTTGTGGCTAGAGGCCATTAATGAAGAATTAGAAGCTCATCGCACTAATAACACTTGGAGTTTTGTGGATAATGAAAACCAAAGAACTATAACATCAAAATGGGTATTTAATATTAAAAGAAACCAAGATGGTAAAGTAGAAAGATATAAAGCTCGACTTTGTGCCCGTGGTTTCACTCAAATTGAAGGGATAGATTACAATGAAATTTTTTCACCTACTACAAGATATGAATCAATAAGAATACTGTTGTCTATCTCTGCTGAATATAATTGGAACTTAAGGCAATTAGATGTTAAGACAGCTTTTTTATATGGAGATTTAGAAGAGGATGTTTATATGGAAATTCCAGATGGAGTGAAAGCACCAGAAAATAAAATATGTAAATTAAATAAATCCCTGTATGGCCTGAAGCAGGCATCTCGTTGCTGGAATCAAAAATTTACAAATTTTCTAGTTAAGTTTGGTTTTGTTCAGTCACAAGCAGACAATTGTGTCTTTGTAGGCAATTTTAATGGTATTAAAGCTTTGCTAATATTATATGTAGACGATGCTTTAATAATGTCGCAGTCAAATTTTATATTAGATCAAGTTGTTGACTATTTAAAGCAAGGATTTGATATTAAAGAGTTAATTTTAAGTCGATTTGTTGGCTTAGAAATTTTAAAGGATAATAATTCTGTTTGTATTAGTCAAAGACAATATATTGAACAATTAATAAGTAAGTTTAATATGAGTACAGCATACTCAAGCAGTACACCAATTGATGTAAATGTTCAGTTAACTAAAAATGTTGACAATAAGCAGATTGATTTTCCTTATAGAGAGGCCATAGGGTCTTTATTGTTTTTATCAACAGCAACTAGACCAGATATTTCATATGGTGTAAATCTGTTAAGTAGATATATTAATAATCCTGGTATACATCATGTTAATCAGCTGAAGAGGATTATTAGGTATCTTATAAAAACTAAAAATTTGTGTATAAAGTATCAAGGTCATGAAAGTTTAATTGGATATTCAGATTCAGATTATGCTGGAGATTTAGATACAAGAAAATCAACCAGTGGCTATATTTTTATGTTGAATGGTGGACCTATTTCTTGGTCTAGTCAAAAACAACCTTGTGTAGCTTTATCAACAACTGAAGCTGAATTTGTGGCTGGTTGTGAAGCTGCTAAGAATCTTTTATGGTTAAGACTGTTTTTCAAAGAAATTGATATAATTCAAGATTGTACAACTTTGTGTATGGATAATCAAAGTGCAATCAAACTGATAAATAATCCTGTCTATCATAAGAAGACAAAACACATTGATGTTAAATTTTATTTTATTAGGGATATAGTAAAAAAAAGTTAATTAATATTAAGTATGTGCAAAGTTCAGAGCAACTGGCTGATATTCTCACTAAAGCTCTATCTACTGGTAAATTTGAACATATAAGAGATAAAATATTGTCAGTTATCTAAGTTAAGTTTTTTTAAGGCAGGCAATGTGATATATTTTAGTTTATAAAATTTAGTGGGAGTATTGGATGAAATTTTATAAAAGGAGTTTGAATATGTTTTGTTTATCTTTGTCTTGTTTTTATTTTTCCATTGTAACGCTAGGTGGCGGCATTGTGTGTGCATTCTGAATACGGCGACTGTCATGTCGTTGTAAAATTTTTCTTATAACTTTTATTAAAATAAAACGTTTAAGTTGTGTCAGAAATCTTGTTTATTAACCTGATTCAAACAGTCTGTATCTCGTACAAAATGTCAAAGAAGAGTGTGTCTAGTGTTTTTGACATTTCAATAAAAGTATCGCATTTGACAAGCTGTCAAATTACTACCGTGTTTGTTGTTTGCAAAATTTCCAACTCACGTAATCGTCGGATTTACACACATCATTACATACAATTAAATAGTTAATTACACTTGTATCTAATATTAATATTTTTTTTAATCAATAAAAGAAAAGTAATTGCGTTATTTGACGTGAAAAAATGACGCCATAACGTTTAACGTCATTCAAAAATACGAACTAAAAATATTTTTGTCATTTTCGAAAACGTCTTAAATTTGACTGGTTAGAAATTACCCTAATAATATGTAGGTACATACTTGTGCTGTTGTGTATCCCACAACCATCTGTAATAATAATCATCGACATAGCAACTTTTTGTTCGGCTCCTTCTTTGTTCCATACCTTGACCATTCGGCCATAACTATTTACAAAAGATAAGTTAATATTTCCAGTAATAAATAGTATCTAAATAACAACAGTAATTATTTGATAACACAGTTTTATGGTAAAAGCTGGTGCCGTAAGCGAACTTACTTATTGTTGCTTTTAAGTTCAAGTTACAATTAAGTTATCTTATGAACTAACTTAAGAACGTTTCGTAAGTAAAACGTGGATACGTACTAAGATTTACATAAACTTAACATTACGCTTTTTTAAAAGACAGGTAGTACCTATAGGCAGATGTATCGCACACTAGCTTCCGCTCGCGGCTTCGCCCCCGTGGTATGTTCATAAAAAGCAGCCTGTGTTAATCCAGAGTATCACCTCTCTTCTATACTAAATTTTAACCAAATAGGTCCTGCCGTTTTTGCGTGAAAGAATAAAAAACATACATACTTACATTTTCACAAACTTTCACATTTATGTTGTGACACTCGCTTCCGCACGTGGTTAGTATATATGAATACATAGTAGGATTATAACGATTTGTTATACTACCCAGTTTTCGCCAATTGGGTAAATAGTTCCGTCTCATAGTGGTTGTGGGTAAGCCTATTGTCATACTCCGGGCAGATTTCTGATCTGTTCCATTACCGTTACAATTATTTCCACCACTGGAATTAAACTCAAAACCTGTGATGTGTGTGATTTTGTACTGAGCAATTATGTACCGCAGATCGGGTTGGAGCCAGATTAAGAATAGTTTATTAGTCAGTAAGACTCTTCGGATCATAAAAAATACTTAGGTACTTGAGAATCACTTCATCAATAAGGCAGTGCACCTAAGCTTTCTAAACCAATCCTAACAATAAATTAGACAAGTAATAACGTGCAATATGATGGAAATATAATAAATATCTATCAGCGAACTCCGCTCGTATATATTGGGGAACATATTTCATGGAACTGGCCGTCTCTCATAAAACTTTAACCTTTGGCCACCAGGTTCTACCATCGCATAAACCATTCCAACAAATGAATGTAGCTAGGACCATCGTTAAGATTGTACCTATTGTCATGTTGCCTCAGAGAAGCTCAAGTAGATATAGTTGACATAAATTCTCTAACGTTGACATTCAATTAAGTTCTAAGATAGTGCATCGGTGAGTTAATGCCTACGTGTCATGTCTGCGATAGGAGGTAGATAATAAAGTCTTAGTTTCAAAGATTTAACGAAGATATTCGATGGGAAAAGGGCGCGGTTGTTTCGTGATGTTTAGTTTATTGGGCATTTTGATTGGTTTATTATATTTACCAAAATCCTTTGGAAAGATAATTGAATAAAGATAATAAACTGAAATTTATATGCGGGAGATTAAATGTCGTAAATATGAGAAGTCACCAAATCAGAAAAGCGTACACAGATAAGAAAATCTAAAAATTATTAGTGACTCATGGTGTGTGATCCAAAAATTGTTGGTCTGTGTCTTAGTGTGATGCGTTTGTGATATTGTGTGTTTGTAAATTAATTCACGGCAAGGAAGAATACGTCAGTGTAGGGCAACGTTGAAAAAAACGTTTAAGTGTGGAAAAGCCAAGTTTCGTCACGAATGGGTCGACTAGACCAGAGGGATACCATGGCCTCACAGAAAACCAGCGTGTAATAACCACATCATTGTGTTTAGCCGTGTGACTGATGTCACTGGAGGATCTACAAAGCCTCAATCCACAAAAGGCTGACGGATTACCTGATGGTAAGCAATCAGCGCTGCCCATGGACACCCGCAACGGAGAAGTCACGAGTGTATTGCCGACCTTTTAGGGATTAGGGATTGGGGGAGGGGAAGGATTGGTCCTCCGATAGCCTCACTCACACGACGAAACACAACGCTGTGGTTGTTTCACGCCGGTTTTCTGTGAGGCCGTGGTATCACTCCGGTCGAGCCGACCCATACGTGCCGAAGCATGGCTTTGCCACACTTAAATTGATTGAATTCTCAGAAAAGAAGGATTAAAGGCACACACATGAGATAAAGTCAGTACCTGCTAAAGAAACCAACCTACCAAATAATTTCCCTTAACGAGTATCGTATATCGTTTAAACCTACTATTAAACTAACATTCAAATTTAGAATAATTTATTTTAATAGGGTCTAACTTAACACACGTTTACTCTGACCCGTCGTATATTAACAACTAGCTAAGGTAATATCTGCATTGAGTTTCAACTAAAATAAATTCAAGATTCACAAATGGCACAGGTGTTTGGTGTATATTACATTTAAATAGTAATTTTACAAACGTAGAACGTATTCACGACATCTCAGTTAAAATAAGGGGCCATAATACTTAATATATCGCTTATAAATATAGAATTATTGTTACAGAGTACAAATACATGTGCTACTTACGAAAATGGATAGAAGCAATCATTGTTTTGTTTGTTTATTTATTGGTTTGTGATAAGTTAACGACGGTGAAAGCCGAAATTTGTTTTGTCTGGCTTTGTTTTATTGTTTCACCTGTTATAAAAGTAAATTGTTGTTTACTTTTCGAAGACAGCTCAACTATAACTGATTATGGTTTTCAAATAAATAAAAGTAGGTATACCTGAAAAAACTCTTGGGCTTTTTATCGTTGTTGATAGGTGATCTAACCGCTGCTATGTTAAGATGTAAGTGATCGTTCAGATCCAAATGATTCATGTCTATATGTATTTCAAATCTCACCAAAAACCGTTCATTAGTTTATGAGTAAAGCACCAACAAACACATATTAACAAACTCTCATATTCGAAGTATTTTAGTGCCTAGATTTTAAGTTGTATCGTCCCTAAGACTACACTTAGGCGCGGTACACACTGGGCGCTAGTAACATAGGCGATAATTTCGAACAATTATTTATTGTCTTAGATGGAGTTAATTTCTCGGCCACCAATGTACTTACCGTTGCGAATCGATAAGTTGCGAGTGTTGTAACGCAAGATAAGTGTGTACTATGCTTAGGGTTGTCATTCGATATATGGGAGCTATTGACACTTGTACTGGGTGAAACTTCGGATGAAAGTGACTTCATTCTGTTCAATTTCTAAAATATATTAATGATAGACCAGAATTGGTTCAGCCAGGGTTGCGGGGCAAGTGCAACAATGTTCTGCAGCCTCAGCCTAGCATATGAGAAGGAACGGGGGTGTTTTTAGACAGTAAGAGTATGACGCTTCTCGCTTCACCCTTGGCAACAGAAGTAAGTCAATAACCCCATCCAAAAAAAAAAGATTCGTTGTTATTATCCTTGTCGACATAACGTTGAGGAGTTAGATGCGAGGCGGGTCCAGTTTCAAAGCTTCTGGTTTGTCAGAATGCGCTGCTGTCACTGTTTCTGTTCCTGTAAGCTCTTACACCCGCAAATAAAGGGTTTTGACAAATATATATAGTATTTTACCAAAAAGTAGTAGGTTGGAAGCTGATAAGCAAATTATCATGTTTTACTTTAGAACAATAATAACATATAAATAATGTGACTCGCCTGTCGAAACCGCGCAGTGTCAGAGCGGAGGCTGGCGAGCGAAATGTCCACTACTGACTCGCCATGCATCCGCACGAACTTGGAGACAGAACCCCGGTGCAACATGATTGGGCCTGTCTCCGGGGCCGAGTCTTCTACCATCCTACCCCAGACTTCAACCGGGAACCGCATTGAAATCCCAGAGGGTCACGAGCACGGGAAGAGGACAGAACCCGACGACGTTTTGTTTATACTATCGTCTATTTTGAGGCAACTGAAAGTTTACTGTTTTATGCCTTTTACTCAGTGCATGCTGTTAAGTTTAGTCCCATCATGAGACAGTGGGGAGTTGCTTCCCGCGGTTTTATTTCTTTACTCAAGTTAATGTTCGTGTCTAACTGTGGCACTGTCTACTTACAGTCGTATTCTACTGAAAAGTGGTGAAAAATCATCAAATGTCTTTTTTAGGACGGGAATGTAGTGTCAGATTCTTACTGATGACGCATGATTTTAGCCGGGGTTGGATTTGAAAATGCTATAACATATCGCGGTCCTGCTCAGAACATGAGAAGGAGCAGGGTGGTTATCGGTTATGAAGGGGGTGCCTTAGCTTCCCGTCTGGGGCTGTTTTTGAGGAAGGACAAGGAAAGGACTTATATATGGTACTTCTATAGGACCTTTACCGACTGACGATTTCAACCCGAGACACCTTCTTAACATGCCGACGACCACTGAACCAACTAGATAGATAGATAGATAACACATTTATTCAGCACAAACAATAACAGACACAAATTAATTGACAAAAACGTGGGTGCACAATACAAATTAACAAGAAAATAACTCAAAATAAAATCAAACAAAAAAAAAACGTATTAGACGGGTAGAACGAAAGAAAGAACATAAAGAACGAGAAAAAGGAAAAAAAAAACATAAAATACCCCGCGGTTCAGTGTGTCTCTAGTAGCATTTAGCACCTAATGGGAGTCCAGCTCAGCATGTATCAGGTATATACCTGATGCTGGTATTCTGCTGGATCCCAACTAGGCAGTTCAATATTCGGAAATGGTCAATAAAACACCCACAAAGAAACGCCTCGATAACCCTAGAAACGTTATTATTTATGTGTTAAAGTAAGAAATAACGGTTATTTAATATAACTGCGTTACGTTATTACAGTAACGGTTTGTTACGTTGATACTTAGGGCTTTTTCACACGTATCTGTTATTCAAACGGTTTAGTTATATGATCTTAGAGGTTGTTTGTGAATAAAAGTTATGGGATAATCGTGGGCTTACATTGTGTGTTTAATGAGTGAATAACGAGTTGTTTTATGAACGTTTTCTTAGCGATTGGTTGGTGTAAAGTAGAGGAGTAATTGGGGAATAATTGGAGCAATAGGTGGCGTAGTGTGTTGAGGTATATTGCATTAAATAAAACCGTTATTAGGTGTTTACAAAGTGGTCAGTGACCTTGATTTGTTTAAACCTCGGTACTAGGGTTATGGTTATATTTTTTTCTATAGGTATGCATTAATTTATCCGATGTAGTTTATAAGTCTTGCGAGATTGATATTACGTTTTGGCACGAAGAACTTTTACAATATTTCCAAATAAGTAATTCGTGTTCGCGTACGGATTACCTGATAGTAAACACTCATCGTCGCCTGTGGACGGGTGGCTAGAGGACTTACGTTGCCTTTAGGGTTTCAGAGATTATCCAGAGATTAGAGGTAGGGGGGGGGGGAAGGGTTGGGCCTCCAGTAACCTCATTCAGATGGCGAAACACAACTTTTCTCAGTCCTGGTATCACTCCGGTCGAGCCGACCCATTCGTGCCGCTTGAATCTCCCACACTTATACATATAAAATGTACGCATTTACTTACACACCTTTTGCTAACAAGGGCACGAATTCTTCAACAAAGAACACCATGCCCTTACGGGAGTCTAACCATGTACTAAATTAACCACAATACAAGCCTAAGTGTAGCAACACCTAGTAAATCCCACTGTTCCTTAAACAGGACGGTATTCTGAATAGGACAGCACTACTCGTTTTAATGTGCTTGTAACACTGGCCTCTGACCCCGCACTAACGAAGCCAGTGTTGCCATGTTATTTGTTTACCTTCGTCCGCGAAAGAGGATTTATGCGAAAGTTTGTAATATGGATTTGGTAATCTATGGTTGTTGTAGGAAAGTATTTATTGTTTATATGGATTGTTTGGAAATAATTGATCTTAACAGTATTCGATCATGTCTAAGTATTTTATTGATATTCTAAGTATAAGTAAAGGAGACTAGGAACGTTATATTTTGTCCAAATATCTTTATTTAATAAATAAATGTATTTACGAGGATTTTCCTTTTTTCATTTATCTTGAACTTGTAGTAAGTAGTCAATTTTTTAAAGTCTCGCAACACACTTGTAGCTTCTCTGGTGTTAAGAACTTTCACATGCCCTTATGAGGCAACCATTACTGGCCATGAAATCATCCGTCTGTACTGTAAGACTGTACAAATTAATAACAAAAATAAGCCTTTACAGCTCAAAATTAAAAGACAGCTAATGATAAGGTGGACTAGGCAATAACCTACTAGGAAATCTAGATTGTCTTAATCTATTTTAAGACTTATAATGATAGCTCTAAAATTAACGTTTGTTTGATTAAAATTTTATTTTGTTTATTAATATGGAATCTGACTTATGTGTGGGTAGTCGCCGATTTAATGTTATTCTCAGCCAACTAGAAGCAGTTACTTAGAATTATTATAACTTCAACCAATACAAGTATCAACATGAATGTAAACTTTCAATAACGCATTTCTTTCCAAAATAAGCTGTAAAATACAAGACTTTCTGTATATATAAAAAATAACGTTACCTTACACTATGATTTTCTCCGATGTCGTGGATGCGTTAACAAACGTACGAATTCGTATGTACACAAGCACACGGGCTTGACAAGACCCGAAACCACAATTTGTTGATCAGTCAAAGTGTTGCTCCGTGCTGGAATCGAACCCGAAACACGTTGCACTGTAGCCAGTTGCCTAGCTACTGCGCCTGATTGATTACATTAACTGTAATATCTAACAGTCTAGCTATCACTGTGATGGTCCTGATGTTACTCTTGCATGAGAGTGCAGGTTCAAAACCTGGCAAGTAGCAATGAGACTTTTTCCAAATTATGCAGTTTCTAACTGTATTAAGAGACCACTATATAAGAAAATGTGAAGGAGAACATCGCGAGGAAATCTGTACGTATAATTTCTAATTATAAGGTTGAAATCGCCAATTCGCATTGAGCATGCGTGGTGATAATGCTGCCTTCTCCGTGTGAGAAGAGGCCTTTGTTCAGCAGTGGGCACGTAAGGACTTATGATGTGATGTGATGTGATTTACAAAACTATCTCCATGATTAATTAGACTTAAATATATACAGTACAACAGAACAGTCCATGAGAGAAACGATCATTTTCTAGATAGGTATTAAAGTTTTGCTAATGTCCAGTGGAAAACTCAGTGTTTCATAATTATTTGAATTTAAGTAATATCTGCATATATGTGTAGGGCTACTATAAGCCTCTGTAGTGGATCTAATATTTGATGTAAGTAATTGTTTTTTATGTACATATCTAAGTCGTAAGTACCTATTGGTATAGATGTTATTATGTTTTCACATAGATTTTTTTTAATATTTGTTGAGTTTTAAAGCAATAATGTAATGAGGTCCGGTTCGGTAGTGGAGTTGGATCGGGATGATTTTTAGCGAGCAAGAAACTCCTATGCTAGGTCAAAGTAAACATAAGAACCCTTCATCTTGCCCCACTAAGTGTGGGAGAGCCATGCTTCGGCACGAATGGGTCAGCTCGACCGGAGTGATACCACGTGATAGCCTCACAGAAAATCAACGTGAAATAACCAAAGAGGTGTGTTTTGCCGTGTGGTGTGAGTGAGGTTACCGGAGGCCCAATCCGTTCCCTTTCCCAAAATCTCCAAATCTCTAATCCCCAAAAGGTGGACAACGCACTCGTAACTCCTCCGTCGTTTCGGTTTCCATGGGCTGAATGCTTACCATCAGGTAAAGCGTTTGCCGACTTATCACATAAAAAAATACAGGGCGGAAATAGACAGAGGTAGATTCTCCTTCACCCCATCCAAGCAAATATATCGAAAAAAACTAACGAAAACAGCCACTAAGTACTAAAGTGTTATTTAGTTGTATTTTTTTTATTTTATTCAAATTTATTTAAAACAATATTTAAAATTAATATTGCATATTGCATATAAAGCAAACCTATCATTGCCTCAAGCACTTACTATTTAACCAAGCAATAAATGGTAAAAACATTTTTTATGTATACCACAACTAACACATTTGTCATGGCCGTCAATTAGTTGATGTCGTAAAAGGAAGTTGTTTTCATTGTTTTCAATTCTCAAATGATATAAAGTTAGCGTTGAAATATACAAGCGAAGCCGTTGGGCGTGTCACAAGTTTAAAACTACACTAGTTTGTCATTCTTCACGCATATAGCCGACGGTAGTCGCTACCGCAATTGCTTCGTGCGCGTACGTCGATAAAATATATAATTCGCAATTTAAATTATCCAACGATCATCCTTTAAACAATTCAATGTAAACTCTATTCGGTCATTCTTAAGGCTCGTATTTTATTGCACTGTGTAGCCTATAAGATGTTCCATTTGATTCATGCGTTTTGATCGGTTCCTTGCGCACCTGCCTTAGCTGACTGATCGCGGCTACGTGCGGAAACTTATAGGATGATGAAATAATCCTATGCCACGCTTATAACTGGCCGGATACATTTAAAATCGGACAGTATTTTAGTTTATTTTATTCTTCCCTTTTTAAATTTTATATTTCGAATGTATTTTGTTCTATATTCAGAACAAATGCGCGTTTTAAATTTCCGATGTGCAAGCTGAATTTTTACATTTATCATGGCGCGTAATGATACGTTTTTATTTAACGAGTGCTGTTGGCACTCCTGTTTTTGTTGCGTTCAAATTTTATTTTTGTTACTTGAATTATATTTCGTATACAATTAACTGGGAAGAAACAGGTCCTTTTGATACGCATTAAAAGGAGTTAATTAAAAAAATCTTCAAGTTTTTGTATAAAATACTGATAAAATGACATGATAGGCCTCGTTTACAAGATGGTGTTGATAATTGATCTTGATCATTTGATAATCACGTCTGAAAGTTAAAAATACAGTTTATATTCTGTCCCACGTAAGTAGGTCGTCGTGCACCTTGCATGCCATTCCGAACGGGTCTCAAGCTCCTGGACAAAGAAAGCACCTCCTTACGATGCGCATGCGTCCAACCATCTTTATTCATGAGCCTTATCAATTTGTTGGCAGCCAGTCTTACAATATAATACTGGGTTGCCACTACATAATTGCCTGGATAATATTGAAACAAAGTAAAAACTGTGACGTGTTCCGATGTTACCATATTCCTTTTTTTTTAATTTTATTATGTGTGTAATCGTAAATTTGAAAGGAGGTTTTAAGTCAGAAGCTCAAAACTAATTTGACCTTTTCGTGTGCTCCAATTAAAATGGAAGGCAAATATCAAAGATTAAAATCTCATTATCATTTAGATTTAAAATTGGATGGTTTTTGAAGAATTCGCCATTTACCGCTAGGTGGATAATCATCTTTTAATAATGAGGCTTTACATAAACATAATGAACAAAGACTCTTAAGCCTTCAGAGGTTATAATGGAGCAGGTTGCACTTTTGTTTTAGGTAAAGTTCAAAACATATGTGACAAAATCTTTAAAAACCAGACCAGATTGAAAAAAAACAATCCTCCAGCTTAGGCACAAAGATCGAACCTAAAATTGCCAGCTTGACAATTGACAATCACACTTGCAACAAGCCAGTCTATTCATAATTTTCAAATTCAACTTTAGGCACGTTAATGAAAACCCGAAAATGAATAGGTTTCTTGTGAGTAGGCATGCTCCATCGTAGATCGCAATATCGTTTGAAAGAGGCAAAATGACTGGCCATTCCGAAAAAAAATGTCAGATATTGAGTACAGGAGCTGAGCCCAATTATTAGGTTTGCACCAATCGCCGGTAACCACAGGCCGACGGCGGACCACGGACGGCGCTACAATGAATTATTGTATTTCAACGTTCGCCCCCGGCGTTATTACCATGCGTAATTGCGAGGCTGCGCACACGCCGCTTCCCCGTAACTTATTTGGTGTGAAATGAGAACAATTTGACTCCGTGGAGATTTATGACCGGAGATAATGACGTTCTAGGTAGTCGGAAGGTTGGATTATTTACCTCTGAGCTTTTTTTTTCAATAAAATGATCTTTGGTCCTCAAGATTCGGTTTTTGATGAAGTTGTGTTAAAATGAAATTGATATTTCGAAAGGTTAGACAGTGATATTCATTTAGTCATGTAAGATGCCTCGTAATTTAATATTTTCTTACATATGTCTATTATTAAGACTTTTGAGACAGTTTAAAAGTTGTTTTGTTGTTAGCAATCGCCACTTTCGACCCTTGAACCTCCGAGTAACTTTGTCAGCAATGTTTGTAGTTTCCTATTACGTTTTCATATTCCATGTTCCTCTACTATGCCACGACAGCGTACTTTAATCACATTCATCAAATGTTAATTTCGTGAAACACCAATTTATATTTTTCTTTGTCTATTAAGAAAGCGGTTGTTTCTTTGTAATTAAGAATCATTCGTGCAGTTCCCATACAATTTATCATACAACAGTTTCTGGGTCGAATTACACACAGTTTAATTAAAACCTCAGAGTACATCAGAACTCGAAGACGCTAAAGCCAAGGGCACACTGGGATAAAAGAATATTCAAATTGTAATTGTCAGACAATTTACATGCAACTAGTTGTAGCCATATAAGGCGCGGACAACGTCAATAGCGATTGGAAAACTTTATTATTATGCAGAACATATGTCGGAGGCGAGGTCATCAATCTTGATGATGCAGCGATGATCTTAGTTGCAGTATTACGTGGTGTCTGTCCTCGGGGCGTTGCCAGCTCGATAATCATTGCCCTCCCTACTCAATGTCACAGGTTAGTTGTCTATTAACCCTCAAAGCACACCAGGTGCCGGCTATAGGGATTTATCGAAGTTTGATCGCCGATTAATGGGTCATATGTTGCTGTGAAAATGATCCATTAAGAGGTCACAGGCCAAAGGTGAGAGGTCTCCATCCGTGTTTATATTGAATGCCGTATTATCTTTTAATAACTACAATTTGAAAGTATTATTTATCGCGAGAAAATAGTTTCAAGGACTGCGCATTGCATATGGATTTAATTGATTCCGTGTATTAGTTGGAAAACGTGACCAATCATTGTGAATTTAAACATTTTTAGCCGGTAACGATTACGGCTGTTACTCACGAGATTTGATATAAATGAGAAATAATTGTCGGTGGTACTCGCGACCATAATTATGTCGAAGTTGACGCATTCCATTACTGATTCGATTCTATGAAAAGGATAGATAACAATCGCGAGGCCGACGTAGCCTCTGGCGCGGTTTGATTGGGGCATACAGCGGGCATAACTGAGAGCGTATTGAAACTTTGGGACCGGTGTGTCACGGGATTTATTTATGTGCACGGTGTTGCTTAATGAGTGAGGGTCGATGGCTGTCGGGCCGCTGTCACGGGGCGTGAAGACTTCAATCATTTTGATATACAAACACCTTTAGTAAATATCAAAGTTGTAGCTCGCAAATAATATCATTGTGGTTATTTTAAGCGTTCTCAAGTACTCAATAAAGGCTTTTGAAATGGTCCGCTTCAGTAGGTGTGGTTGCAGTCGCGTCTTTTATATTGATGAAGATTATTTATGATGGAGCTTGGTAACTTGCTTGGGCAATTTACTTTAAAGATTAGCTACAGTTATTACTAAGGTCTTGCAAGGAGTAGGAACATCAAAAGGGATCTGAATATCACTTGACGACCGTATGATGAAAAGTTAAAAGAACTGAAGCACAAGATTAGCTGTAATTGGCAATTTATTGAGTGACTAATGAATTTATAGTGTTAAATATTTATAGATAATTTTGCACGATTCAATAGTTATGTTACGAATCAAGAGTCATAAAGCTTTGAAATTGAAAACCCCAACAATAATATAATGCAAACCGTCTTTGTCTACGTTTTATCCTATCAAAAAAAAAGTCAAAATCATTTATTTCAATTAGACTACAGTAGGTACTTTTGAACGTCAAGCAAAAAATGGAAAAAAGTATTTCAAGAGCTTTATCTTTAAGCGTGTCAGTCTGTCCGTCTGTCCTCTAGTGAAGCTATTTGCTCGTTCCAAATTGTAAATTCCTACGGAGAAGAACGAGCAAGAAACTCCATATCTACTATCGAAGTTACTTATTGTTATTGTTAAAAAAATGCTTTTCACCTAATTTCTAGTTATAAGTTGGTATACTCAAATCTTTTCCGTTTTAGAAGAGGCCTTTGCTCAGCAGTGGGCACTTACTTATAGGCTAATGATGTGATGTGAGTTTTCCCTATGTGTATTTACAGTTACCTGAGGTAGGTAAAGCATCTAAATAACCCACCAAAGAGAAAGTCCAGGGTGTTGCAAATCTAGCTTTGTTACATGGCTTACACCTGCAGCCCGCGACATGCTATTATGAGTTCTTATCTCAACCTATCATTGACCAGAGGTCGCCACTCGCCAGAGAATACTTACTTGTTTACATAAATACTGTATTCCTCGAGATTGCAGGGCTGTGCGAAATCTTAGGAAACTATTTTCTTTTTATATTTGACGTGGACTCGTGGAACTTAGGTCTATGCTATGTTTTTTGATAAAGGTATTTGTTCCTTTGAAGTTTATTTTGAAATTAAAGACGAAATGATTTAAGTTGTGAGTAAGATTGATGACCGATTTTGGTGCAGATCTTTAGACATTTTGACCGAAGCTGATCCTGTAGCTGGGCTCACGGCTGTGCATATGCATTAATTGTAGCACACATTACGATTTTGTGTATTTGAAATTGTAGGTTTGTAAACGCACCCAGGCCACAAGAGTATATTCTAGCGTTGGGAGACAACATTTTTTAACGAAAACATAAAAAAAGAAGTACCAATAGTTTTCGGATTAAGATGATTAATTTTTTTTACATTTATTATAATATGGAGTTTCAAATATCAAACATTCAGATCAATCCAGAGTCCTGATATTTTATATTAAAACCAAAAGAAGTGAAAAGGTAGAAATAATAATGATCGCTATCACTGGCCTGTATAATGTGTCAATTAGTAAAATGGTAAACTCAAAAACTGCTGAACAGATTTTGCTACGATTACGACGAACGCCGCACAATACAAGCAACTCAAATGAAGAAATACATACATACCTTCTCACCAATGTATATAAGTATACATATAAACTTTTGCACGCGTCATGTCGAGATTAAAGATCAAAATAGTCGGCCTGCAATGGTATCTGTATGCCATCTGCCACGGACCCCATTAAATCAGTTAGCCTCAATTGACATCACACTGCAGCTGCTCTTTATATTCTGTTTTTAAAGTAATAGTAACACTCTTTTTATGTTTTAGAATTTAGTTTGTTATTTCTGTTTTGTTGGTTGGTTGGTTCCTAGCAACACTGCTGTTTTTTTATGTGATAGGGCGGCCAACCTGCTGAGAGATTACCTAATGGTAAGCGATCAAGCAAGCGTCGCTCATGGACACTCCTAATACCAAAGGAATTGCTATAAATGTGTTGCTGGCCTCTTTTGGTTTATCGGGGATAGGGGATTTGAGGATTGAGGATTGGGTGCACGATGAAAGCCAACGTATGTATGTAAGTGTTGCTTCATGACGGTTTTCTGTGAGGCCACGGTTGAGTCGACACACTCGTTGGGGGTTTTCGGGCTCGGAATTGGAATTTTAACGATAAGGCTAGAAAAGCCATTATGGGCAAATTATAAATCTTATTTACAATATAGCTCCTGGAAATTAAGGTCAACAGAAAAATAAGAAAATAGAAGAATATAATGAAATAATGAAATAAAATTGTAAAAGTTTGGTACTAGTATGCATGGATGTATGATTGTTATTCTGTCATGCAAAAACGGCTGGGCCGATTTCGTTTAAAATTGGTAAAGGTGATGCCTTGGATCTTGAACACATAGGTTGCTTTCTAGCATTGCATTAAATTCGTCAACAAATCAATTGGGAGCCATCACAGGACGATAAGGGAAACTGAAATAAAACTGTCAAATATTGTTGAGAATAAAGAAGTCCAAGTTTGGCTCTTGTCGCAGTACCTATTTAATTTTAAAGTGACAACCTTAAAAGGAAACGCATGTAATTTTCTTTAATGTGATGTCGATAGCGATGCGAGCTTTTATCACTCACGTAATGCGTTTTATAGATGTTACGTAAACTATTACTTTCTATCAGTTAGGTATTGTTAGATTTTGATACAAGTAGGTACTAACAATCTACTCCTGCTTTGTATGATTTTCCAATTATTCCAGTTTCAAATTCATTTTTTTTGCTTCATTGTCCTCAGATGCTTTTTAACCTAGCAGAGAGTAGAACTTTGTAGGACTGTGCTGAAGTAGGCGAAGTATTGGGTGTCCAGAAACTTGGCTGGCACGCATGGACCAACAGGGAAGTTGTCGTAGCCTGGCTCAGCAGCCACTCTAGTCGTTGGAAGATGTTCGTGGCCAATCGGGTTTCTGATATTTTAAATATTTTGGACAAACATCACTGGTCTCACGTATCAACAAAACCCAATCCCGCAGATTGTGCATTGAGCGGCGTCTCACCTGCTGAACTCGAGTCCATGTGAATATGGTGGCGTGGTCCGGATTTCTTAAGACAGCAAGTGGTGGAGTATAAAAAGCGAAAACATCTAATTACTCGATTAAAAGAAGTAAAGGTTAATCATGTTCGTTGGATGTTACCTTTTGGAATCCATTTTCTACACTGCTGAGAATGCTTCCTGTTGTTGTTTATTGTCGAAGGTTTTTAAAGGCAAACAGACAGGGAGTGAGGTCAAAACATCAGACTAAGCAAGAATTGGACAAAGCATTAGAAATCAGTATCAAGAAAAGTCAAGAAGATGGATTCGCCAAAGAATTGGAACTCTCTAATAGGTGCTTTTTTAAGTGCGAGGACGGCAAGCGAGTGGACGGATTACCTGATATTGAGGTATTGGCGCCACCCATGGACATCCGCAACACCTAATAAGTTTCGAGTGCGTTGCCTGCCTTTTGAGGATAAGGGTTTCAGAGATTTTGAGGTTGGAGAGGAGAAGAAGATAGATAGATAGATAGATCATTTATTTGTCATAACATGAGTTACATGCAGATGGATTGGTGTAATACAATAACAGCGTTGTTTCACGTCGTCTTCCTGTGAAGTCGTGGTATCACTCCAATCGACCCATTCGTGCATGAATGCAATGCAAACATGGGTATTCCAGCTTTTGTTAATAAGTGCAAGCTTAACATAAGCTAAGTAGTATAATAATGTTTTGCGTTGCATTTTCTCACGCAAAAAGAACAATTTGTCTTCTTTTACAATATCAATCTTGAGATTGTTATATGTCAAGCCAATGTGTGTGAAAATGGGAGACACTGGCATTTATCTTCAATATAGATGTGAGCAACAAAGTTGCAACTATCTACCTAATAGCAATTACCAGCAAAATAATAGTTAGTTGCAGTCATAACATTAAATTGTTATTATTGATCGTCATTTATGTTATATGAGTCTCATTATTTTATGTTTAAATTGTTAAATGTAATTCGGCTAACGATCGGAATTCTAGACTGCGAATTTCAGAGTCGATTCATTCTAATTTAATGTAGGTTTCTCAAGAACTGTTCTGTATTACAAATTGAGCCTAGTTATGTTCCGATCCTAAATCATTCAGCTGGGGTTGTGACAGCGGAGTAGAATGAAAACTAGACAAGTGTAGCAGAGCCCAGCTTCAGCACGAATGGGTCGGCTCGACTGGAGTGACACCACGGCCTCACAAAAAATCGGAAGCAACCACAGCATTGTATTTCGCCGTGTGAGTGAGGTTACCGGAGGCCCAATCCCTCCTCCTTCCCCATCCCTTCCTAATCCCAATCCCGGGAACGCACTCGTAACTCCTCTGTTGCGGTTGTCTATGGTCGACGCTGATTGCTTTCCATCACGTTGTGCATCGGCTCGTTTGCCGACCTGTACCATAAAGAATCTAGAATATAACATTATGTACCCTCGACACAGAGCAGGTGAAGGAATGGAGTGGGTTTTAGTCAGTAAAATCTTATACACTCGCCCCAAAAAGAGCTGGAGAAGTCAATAAATGATTATGTGACTTCATAAAAAGACAATACGAAACTACCTAGTTTAGAAAAAAAATGTTATGTATTTACAAACCGCTTGTAGTTAGAGTTTATATTTTAGCTTGATTTGCAAATATCAAGTTGATCAGTAATTTATGTAAGAAAATTATAATCATATGCATACAGTAGGTATATAAGTTATATAACTAACTATAGTTCTTAACTATTTTGTCAATAAAACATAAAGTTCTATTGTCACACTTCGAGTTCCATTTAGCAATAACTGCTAAGTTAATTAATACGCGTTGAGTTTAATTAATGTTAAGATCATTGATTAACTAATTAGTGAGCTCGAGCTGACGCAATGTGTATAAAGGTCCATTCAGGAGTGTAATGAAGATTATTAATGTCGAAAAGTCGCGGTTGATAATACAGAGGATAGTTAGATGTGTATCTCTATCTCTGGCAAGCAATAATAAATCATGTTTTACAATGATTTTTATTTATGGAGGGAAAGTCATCAATAGGCTAACATCGTCATAAATGACCTCTCCCGCTCTGGGTGGATGATACCCCTGGGAAGAATCCACAGTCAATAAGACGTTATTACAAAGAATAAAACTCCAGAAAAAATCATACTTTTATTTATTAATTTTACGATATGCTTACGCTTAGTATTCATATTTTAGATCATGTTACGATCATTCAAAAGAGTAGACGGATTACCTGATGGTAAGCAATCGGCGCCGCACGTGGACACCCATAACACCAGAGGAGTTAAGAGTAAATCGCCAAAAAGTCAAAGTCAAAAATCATTTATTCCAATTAGACCCTTACAGGCACTTTTGAAAGTCAAACAAAATTTTTAAGAAATAGTGCACAGTGTAGGTACATTATTTTATAAGTGTCAGTGTGCAAGTCGGTCCTCTTAGTGAAGCTATTTATATCGTAGACATTTATTTGTTATGAGGATATCGGAGATGTAGGGATCGGGGAGTGACGGGGAGAGGGGAAAGGATTGGGCCTCCGGTAAACAAGCACACGAAGAAACACAACGCTGTGGTTGTTTCACGCTGGTTTTTGTGAGGCCCTGGTATCATTCGGGTCGACCTGACCCATTCGTGGCACATTCAAAATTATAGTGTGTTTATCCATAAAAGTTAACACTATGATCCAATTAATTTATCAAGTTATATGAAGGTGAAACGGGAATGAATCTGATCGAGAAATGAAAAGGAATAAGAAAATTACTAACCAGATTTTGCTAGCGGGATTCAAACCACTTTTGTGGTTAATATCAATGCAAGATTACTTATCATGAAAACTATAACAAAAGTAAACAGTAGAAGACAGTAATACGGAAATAAGTTATAGTAATGGCGAGTTCGAGTGTAATGTAATATGATACCTTGGTGTGAGTGAAATTATTAGTTCGAAATATGTTGTTGTTAGTGTAACGAGAGCGGCTAAGGTGGCCATGATTCCAAATACGATTTTCGGTCTAATTCTTATTTTAGAAAAAAAGGAAAATAATGAGTTATTCAGCGTGTGTGTGTAATGTCGTTTAGTGGACTCTGTGTGTCATGGGTGCGTTTACAAATATACAATTTGGCTTACATATCACACTCTGACCTGAAATAACAATTTTTGATCCGGAGAGTGGTTTCGTGCGGGAATTGAACACGTTCACAGGCAGCCAGAACGTCAACGTATGTCAACCGTGCCGTCAAATTAGATTTTTAAACAGTCGGTATCGTATAAGACAGTGTAATAGTTTGACACTTCTCTCTTGATTCATCTTGGGCGTACCATTCCATGATTTTCGCAGATTAAAAAAAAAGTAGTTGTATATGACTGAATTTCCTGGGTTATTAAATAACTAATCATATTAAAAATCATAAGAACGTGCAATAAGTACTTTTGGAGAATTTGTTTGTTTCAACAGATTCGATAAGTATGTCATAGATATACATAAATTAGCTAAAATTATTATTAAACTAAAACTGAAAGCTACAAATTTAAATACAATGTAAGTATACAACCTATCACTAGAACAACATATCATTATTTTCACCAGACAGCAACATTAAAATACCAATGTAAGCCCCTAATTACAGCACAAGCATGCAAAACAAGAAACAATATCACGGAATCTAGAACAAGAAGTTAGAAACGTAGTTTAATAGGTACTACAAAACAAAATATACGCAGCTTCCTACAAAGATTTGTAGGAAACGCATCCATTTTACCCGCGACGTTTCTAAATTAATGTTTATCAGAGATGTACACGGTTTTTCAAGAGGACATTGAGAAATTTACATTAATTGGCAACAAGGCTTCTCTATTTATGATCATGCCTCATTTCATGATAATACTATATTTATGTTTTCCTACTATGTTAGCATACATAAATTTTACCTAAACATTGCACAGCGGGCGGGGAATTAGGGTTTGGTGTATGAAGAAGGTACAGAGCGCGTTATAATTGTTCAGTTTTTAATGAGTTTAATACTAATTCGATGTTTAATTCTCCATAGTCTTGGTTTATTTATTTAATCTTTTACTTTCTAGCGACAATGGCCCATAGATATATATACCTTAAAAAACATATATGCACATAAGTTAAATTATACAAAAGTCCATGTTGACTGCACGGTTGGCGCGGTGGCTGGGCGGATACGATTCTCGCACGGAACAACACTGTATGATCCACAAATTGTTGTTCCGGGTCTAGGTATGATGTGTATGTAAAATTGTATGTTTATATACTTCTCGTTCTTAGGTTCGATGTATTTACGATCCCAAAATAAAGGGTATAAGACTAGTGGTGTACAACAGCGCTCTGTATAATTCATACTCCACCAATAATCGTATGAGGCGTCGAAATAAAGTATGTTTTTGTTGCGCAGGAGTCGGTAACAATTTGCAAGGGACTGCGACTTCCAGTTGTTGAGTTACGATGGACTGGGTAAAAAATTGATCGTAAACCACTCATTGTAACTTACTGCAACGTATTTTATTCGTTTATTATTGAAATATCTGTCTTTTTTAATGCGCCTTCTGTTTTGATGGTAATGAGAAGGATCACTGGTGAGTCTACTGGTATTACGTTCACGTTATTTCTCAGTGGAAAAAGTAACGGCTTTTGAATTATGTGTGCGGTAATCGTAGGTATTCATAAAATAATATACTGACGTTGAGCACTGTCCGATCTTTGTGACACAAAAGAAAATGTATTAATAGTTAAGGAAATTGTTATAGAACTTACGAAATGTAACTTAAAATATTATAAAATCACCTTAAATTACGACTTTCATTTCGATAATAGTATTAAAACATAATCCGTCAAAGTTCATTCGTGATCTGACCGCTAGATGTCGTTATAACAACTGTCATTCAAAATGACATTTAAATTTAGAAACCCCCTTTATCTTGGAAGTTTTTCAAGTGATTTACGAGTTGCGACCTTATTGTATGTGGGGTAAGTTTAAAGATTGTTTGTATAGTTGACAGAACAGGTGTAAAAGTGAAATTGTCGATGACTTATATGGAGCCGCGACAATAAAGTTGGCGTTGTAAAATACCAATTTACTTAACAATATAGTTATTTGTTCGTATCGTTTTGGTGCCGTATATGGGCACATCGTTTAGGCAAGCGGCGGGCAAACTGTTGGACGTGACCAGAATTTGTTTCCTCGCTAAGAGTCAAAGTAGACCTAGTGACAATAAGCGGTTGAATGTGAAGAAAGAAAATATTGAAATAAAAATACATTTATTCAATGGAAACTCTCGTTGACTTTTTATTTGGTTATATAATCAAGTAAATATTCATGTGATTATCAATGATGGTGTCAAAGTTACGTTTTAGAGGGAAGCAAATCGAGGATCAGGTTGGAAAGTTTTAGAGGGTCTACCATGTCGTGTTAAAGCGTGAATCTTCCGGGCGAGAAAGAGGGATGGAGCTATAAACGGTGTATATGTCATGGTACAGCCTACAGATCCTTCTACTAAATTATATTATGTGCTATATGGTTGGACACGAATCGGCCGGCTCGAACAGAATCGAAGACCTCACAGAATACTACCGTCAAATAACATCCTGTTTTGCCAATTGAGTGAGATTTCCGAAAGGGCTGTGGGATTTGGAGGGTCGAAGGCAACCCCCAATCCAATCCTTTAATCGCTAAACCAAAAACGACCAGTATCGCACTCGCGACTCTTTTAGCCTTGCGGGTGTCCAGGAGGCGCCAAATGCTTACCATCAGGCACCAAGTTCATACCTACTCGTTTGCAGCCATCCCATAAAAAATGTTGTAGTGAAATAAACATTTCTATACGTGAAT